AGCCTGGAGGCGGTCCGGTAGCCAGCCTCTTGTTCCACTGGCATTGTGCAGGTGCAGGTGGAGGTGGCCGCGGCGGCTGCACCTGAATGAAGAGGAAACAAAATATCTGAGGCGAACAATAATAGAGATCTTGACAGAACAAATTGCAGAGCAGATTGCAGAGACATTTTTCTCTAAATTAACTACTCACAGATAATGAAACATACAAACTGATGCAGATGATTCATTAGTAGTACGAGCTTATGGATTAATTGAATCTGGAAAACATGATAGGTTGAGTTTCTCCACCCATTTAGTTGATTTCACTTCTGTCCCAGCCAGAGATGTGATATATGGTTATACAGTTCCTCTACAGCTTACCCGATGTATTTGGCATCAACATTTGTGACTAAAATCTGATGCGATGACATTCATTGTGGGTGTAAATTACAGTTTTGCTAAAGCACATCTAGATAAATAAGCAATTAAAAACCATACTTTCAATAATGGATAAAATCCCAAACTGCATTCGCAAAAAGAAAATCTCCCAAACTGAAACAAAGGATCGTTTCGAAACAGGTTTTCAAAGATAAAGCAACGATCAAGGTCCAAACATTACCTATGCACAAGTCTGAAAAATAAGCGAAAAAACAAATAAAATGTAAGCAAAAAGAATCCTCTCGACATCCTTACAGTTGTACCTTCTAGCTACGGAAGAGGCACAAATACCGTACTAACTAGCACTGTGATGTGAAGCTAATCCATAGTTTTCATACCATATACGAGATGTCGTAAACACACATGAAAACTAACTGCTCACGCGAGGAGGAAACGAATCAAATTTAAAACTTAGGAGTTATACCATGTTAAGAGGAATACAATCGAGATGCAAATCCATGTCGCTGTGGAGCAACATGTTGAAAAAGATATAGCACTAAATTTTAAATTTTAAATAAAACAATATTGCACTGCTAACCTGTGGGGGAGGAGCGGGGTTCCTGAAGATGGCCATGCAGTCCTGTTGGCCGCCGCGCACCTGGCCTGCCGTACCAAAGTTGGCAATGGCAACCCCCTCCTCGTCTTCCTCTTCCACCTTGATGGCCGCATAGATCGGCATTGCGGGATCGGAGTATTTCATGGACTCAAAGCGGATGCGGAGTGGTTGTTTTTCAGGATGTGAAGCAGTGAGAGCGTGAACACAGACAATGTGGTTAATTAGTGGGAGCTATATGACTTTGAAGATGAGAGGGAGGAGAGGGGATATAATGATTCCTAGCGTTGGTTCACA